AAGTAAAAGGAACAGATCATGATGTGAATCGGTCAAGATACTGTACTGACGGTAGTAACAATCATGTGCACCATGTTTAAATGATTACCTAAATTTCACTTCCACCGGAACTTTCCTTCAACTTGCCTCGCAGATCTGCAAGCTTGAACTTGACATGGAGCTGGAGTTCGACTTGAAATTCTCTCAAGCATGTCTACCCTCTTTGATATCCAGCTGAAAATATGGACAGAGTTTCGCTGCAATGCATTCCATTGGAAATCGTAATCATGGATGAACGATCCCGACTCTCTACACTGACGATATTCCCTCTCATGCCGCGCTATGCTTGGAACCGCACGTCGTCACCTGTTCTCGACGTTCACATAGCATCTGCAAGATGACTTCTAGTCTTGTCGTCATTTTCTCAACAACGCCGCGCACGTACGGTTTCTCCCTGCCGATTGGGGAGCCAGAAGCAGAATTATACGCCATAACGTGAAACAGTTTCTCCATATGATTGCACTCATTGCATAATGGCCGATTAACGATCATTCCTTGCTCTATCAGAGACCTTGCAACGATTGTTGTTACATTCCTTCCGATCCCCAAACTTAACCGGGATCTCGATTACAGGGCTGTATGACGTTCTACCAGCACAACGAAGCCATCAGTTTGTGATGCTCCAAATTTTCTCCGAGAAGTAGCATCCAGTCCACAGCTTCCCAAGCCACAGACTTCCATATGATCCATATGACGAAATTGTAAACGGACCTACGGTGCGACATCAACAAACGCCGAAGCATCGATTGTCGAAGTTGCGCGAAACTATTGCAGACAATTACTACTTCACCTCAACTTGCCTCTTGGAAATTATGACCGGCGTTCCATTGAAAATCCTGACGGATGTCATATCTACGGCCCAGGCAATCAAGATTCAAAAAGCATATAAACCATCTTGCTCCTGTCCTAGAGTTGCTGGCACAAGCATCAAACGAAGAGGATCGAAGGCGGGGGGAGGAGCTGTGTGATTGTGGATCGGACGCTCTTCACGACATCCTACATCCTCAACATTGAGAACAGCTTGATTGTAATACCAGGGCCTTGCAGGCTTGGAGTTCCACATAAAAGGAAGAGATTTCGATTCCAAGAGATTAAAATGATGTACATCTTCATTGCACTTCATTATTAAATAGACACCATTTCTGAGGACTACCGGAGATCGGCCGGGACGGCGACTTGGACAGTAAATAGTTCCAAGTCATGAGATCAGGATGAAGCTTACCGCAGGACAGAGGGCTTCCCAAGGCAGCGTTAGGGTGAATCTCTGCACGGTCGTTACCGTAGCTGACCCCCGATGCCGCAGCAGTCGCAAGTCCTGCTTGCATGCGCCAGAAGTTATGGCAGTGAAGAACCAGGTTCCTAAGCCGGACCGGGTGAACACCACCATATCAACATACACAACAAGAGGCTATTCACGAGGCCTGTCAGTAACGAACCGAAGCGTAGTACCTGCAGCTCCGACACCAGCAACCTGAGTTGACACATGTCTAAGACGGTATGCTTTTACAGTATAGAGAATGTGAGCATACGTCACGACGGATGGGATTCACGAGGTTAAGCAGATCGGAGCTGTCTGACTTGACAAGGAAAAAATTGTTCTAATAGAGCGTCAATAAAGATAATAAGTACATGCCAATGACTGCATACGCACTCCATGGAGATGGAATGCTAAAAGATAGTACGCTTCAGTTATTTCCAAGGGAAACGAGTGTCCACTTACGATGAACCTCGCCTTCATCACTATATAGAAGCAATGAGATCGACTGGAGCACTCTTATGATAGTATGCTTTACTTAGGAGGGAACACAGCTTCAACGACGGTGTTCTTGGGAAGAATAATCGTGTTCTCGGTGACACTGAACGTAGGTCCATTGTTGGCACTGTCCAAGACCTTGACGAGTGTAGGGATCTCGGGAGGTAAGTACGAAACATTGTTGACGTTCCACTGCACTTTCCCAGCTGTATGAAATTATCAGACCTTTTAGTACCTGTCACTGTCCTCCACGATGCGTACCACGGTGAGGATAAGATGACGTCGGGTAGAGGAGCTTGCAATAAGGTCAATGTTCAAGTCCGGACGAAACGATGAAGACACGAATAGCCTCAGCAACAAGAAGCTAACCAAGGATGTAACGAGCATACATCGTCTGACTTCACAATGAATACTCACACTAAGATTTGCTTCGTTGGGGTTGACTGGGCCAAGAGTCATGGGTGTCTGAGGGGTCAACAATCGGTGCTCCGGCATATCTCAAGATAGCACGCGAGAGGGTCGCGTTTTCTGATTGTAAAAGTAGGGATAGACTGGAATCAGCTTGACAAGATTGCAATGACGGTTCGGGTTACGAGTAGGATCGCCAACAACGAAGGGAGCGTTGATCCAGTAAGTAGCGACCGGTTGATTGGCTTCAAGCTGCGAGAAATAAACGAATAGTTGATTTCCAAAAGAAAGATGGACATACTACCACGGAGTACCGCTGACATACGATCATTACGATCTGATTCACAGTCATTGAACTCGTAGGAGTACCGTCGATCTCAATGATGGCTCTAGATTCATCTCAGACGAGGTACAGATGATAGGTAAGGTAAGGAAAGACATCGCATAATGAGATCGTGGTTGTCAACAGACCTAGTAAAGACATTGCGTGCAGATTGATTGATTGATGAGGAATCGGTAGTGTTTACCAGACTCAACGTTCTGGACAAAGAAAGGCACTTCTGGGTCACCCTGGAAGCAACCAACACCGTTGAAAGTACCGGAGTCAGATACAGGTTCGATGCCAATGGCAACATAGCCAGCCAGCAAGGCAAGACTTGAGTTCGCAACTAGTCACCTGGAAGTGATGTGAGGGCGAGTTGGAAAACATGGATGAACTTGATGCTCACCGACGTGCCAAATCTACGAGTGACTGACATCTGACAGTAGACCCTGTTTGAATACCTACCGTGTCCTGGTTATTGATATCATACAGGTCAGACAGAGGATCTTTAGGATCTTCGTGATCATGATCGTTATATCAACAGTGTATGAGGAATAGAAACGCACCATATACAATGAGAGGACCGCAGAGACCCTATGCAGTGTATGTTTGTAAACTATTCTGACACAGAGGCAAAATGAGCTTACATCCACATACTGATATCGCTAAGTTGGGTGCAATGACATCATATGTGACTGAAAGTGTAGAATTCCTCAATGACCATACCTGTGATACCAGAATGTGCCTGTCTGGTTGTCAGTGAGTGGAACAGTGTAAGTGAAGCTAGCTCCAGGGTGCAACAGGGCAGGTAGTGACAAATGGTATCCCCTCGTCAAAACTATTCTGCGTCGAGAAAAAGATGCCATCGAAATCCTACCAAGAGCATGAACGGATGAGGTCCAAACACTCACATGGGTACTAACCAAGCTGGTGCTACGGCGCATTGTTGAGTCTATCTGGGCAATCAATGTCAAATAGCAGCCAGAATACATGAAGGTTAAAATTTACGAGGCGGTTATTCATTGTCAGGCGAAGAGTGTCGCCTTTGGTGAGAGAAATCAGAGGACCAGGATATCTGGGCAGCACAAGGTACTGCTAGTGCGTAACAGAACCGAGAAAATTCACAAGTGATGACACCTGATATTCGAAGTCGGCGAAGACTTGTGAAACATGACGACAAGACGTACTCCTTTCAAAACTGTCGGGGGCGTCTAGCATTCTCGATGTTCAGTGTAACGTCCGTAACGCTCCGCGGCACGATAGCAACGCTGCTAACAGAGTAGGTCTGAGAACGGCTAAGAGAACTGAAGCAAGGAAAAGGAACCACATAGAGGGCAGTTGACGAAAGAAGGCTCCTGGAGCTTTCGTACTGTTCAGTAGTGAGCGTGGTAAGTCCGCAAAACAAAAAACTCGTAATGGTTGAGTGTGTGGTCCTTACCAGCAGGTCAGTACGCTGTGAAAGTCTTTAAGCTCGAGATGCTTCTCTAGAACTCTGAATAACGGCCACTTCACTAAGTGAAGCATGGGGATTGGATAAGGCAAAGGCGTAACAAGAAGTATGCAGCTAAAATAGTGAACATTGACCCCAAGATCATGAGAGTGACCAAGTAGCCGAACAGAGACATCAGAGTAGAAGCGAGGCTTCACGTAGAATCAAAACGAACGTTAAACACTCGAAGATGCGAAGCACGATGAACGCCCGGTGTTGGACAGAACTTGTGCGATCATAGCAATGACTTGTCTTACTCTTGACAGATTCCTGACCACGCTTTATCTAGCAGACAATCACTGGGATTCGCATGACGTGCCAATGGTCCGAGCGTCGAATGATGCAGCATGGATATTCCATAAGCGATTGAATACACCAAAGATGGACTAATATTCACATTGAATCAGCTTGGGATCGCTCACGAAGATGATCTGCTTCTCATTGTGCTCCGGGAATGAGACACCCAGGGTTGCAGCAATTCAGCATCATGCTTAACCTGGATACGCGTTGAAAATTTGTGTCCTGATTAACTAGTCTCATACCGAGACCATTCTCATGGCTCAAGTGCTTCGAGCGCTCCAATAATTCCGGGAGGAAGGCACTGAAAACAAGAGGATAGTAAACCTTCGATTGTCTTCAGAAGTGGGAAACGGATGAATACATCTGGGATGTTGCAAATGTGGTTGTATGTCCTGGCATTCAGATAGAGAAGGCAATTGATTTGTGCCCAGTCAGGTAGAGAGGACACGACTGGAAAGGGCGCATCAATATTTTTCGAATGTGTAGAAGGGATAAATTGATAAAGTACGGGTTTCCAGAAACGGATTCCAGATGAGGGACATGATAGTGTCTGTGTTTGACTGTTCATTTCGTTGCTAGTTGGAGAATTTTGACGAAGACAGCAAAGATAGATAGAGCATCAAGAGATTGAAAGTTCCGAAACCAAGGAATGCAAGAGACATGACGACAAATATATAAGTCGTTACCAGTCCGGTATGGTGTAACGGCTAACATTGCCGCCTTTCATTAGAATTCGCGGCAGCTCGGGGTTCGATTCCCCGTACCGGAAAATTGTTTTTGCTGAGGCCGGCCATGTCATGTGACGAAATTTAAAGCTGAAGATACGAAGAGCGATCAATCCTGCCTTTGGAAATCATATCACAGCTGTGACTAGTTAGCACTTAACTCCCTAGAATTTCCAGAGAGGTTCTAGTTTCTAAAAAGTTATAAAGACTGCAAGGACAAGTGTGGAGATTGCAATTGCACAACCCCCAGAATTGCAAGATCATCTGATCCAGTTCTGCAATCAGAGGTACACTGTCAGCTTCCAGAGGCCCTCAAGGTCTAATATCATACAATATCATACACAAGAAAAATGTGATGACCTAGTGAGTTCAGCCATATGTATAATCTATTCCCAGAAAAGAGAAGTTTGGGAAGGAATACTGATGGTCTTTGTCATGTCTACTTATTCACATATTGCTGGACTGCAGCTTCTACATTGTATTTATACAGATTGCCTGAAGCAAATCAGTACAAGAACCATAATATTTATCCCACTACTCACCAAAGTTATTCAAGAAGAAATTCTGAGCCTTCTGCCATGGATGCTTCTTTCTTTTGCCATTTGCCAAGTTGAGGATTTTTTGAACCCTTTCCGTCCTCACATCTTTGTAGGCCCTCACCACCCACTTCAGTGCATTCTTGATACCAAGTCCATCAACCTCATGGAACTTGTGCAACAAGATCCCAATAGCAACTGCATCCTCAATGGCACTTGATGCACCCTGTCTGGACTTGTAAGGTATAACATGAGCAGCATCACCAATGAGAAGGATTCTCCCAGTGCCAGAGGGAGAGCTCCATAATGGCCGGCGCAGTTCATCCTTCTTTGGTAAAAAGGAAAGATCGCTTTGTCTTGTGCATCCAAGTTTGATGATCTCTTTGTATGGAGACATGTCAGAGGAATCATGAGGAGATTTCCACAAAGCATATTGAGAGAGGAGATGAGCACGGACAGCTAACGGATGTGAATGAGACTGATTGGGAGGAGTTATGGATTCATAGATTGACCACCATTCGATGCTTGGGTCATCATCAGGTATCATGATGGTTTGGGAGTACCCAAGGAGGAGTCCTGATGGGCCAGACGTCATAATTACATCTTTGGTTTTGAGGTTCTCTCGAATGCGTGGGGAGAGCATGGAAAAAGGGATGGATCCACCTACGCCCGTGAACCCCCTGTAGTCAAGTCAGCATCTCTCCTCTCAGCTGAAGTTCACGCAACTCACTCATAAACCGGTGGGTGTTCACGTTTCTGGTACATTTGCCAATGTGGGTCACCACCAAACTTGAAGGAATTAGGTTCTCTGAGCGGGGCATAAAGTTCTCCAGAAATACATTCGCGAACCACACTCCAAATTCCATCAGCACCAATCACAAGGTCGGCTACATCAGAAGAGCCATTGGCAAATATCACTTCTACACCTCTTTTATCTTCTTCAACAGACCGGAGCTTTGAATACCAGATAATCGCATTCTCAGGGATATCCAGAAGGAGCGCCTCATGCACAACAGCCTTGCGGACTATCATCTGGTCAAACCTATGACTTTTCCTGCGTCCAAGCCATGGATGCCCCTGGAACCGGCTAGAAGGACCTTGAATTGGGTCTGTATACCTATTTTTTTCGAGGTGTTCAATGGCATTGGAAGATAAAGAAGCAATAGCGCGTAAGCCATTGGGAGCAAGGCTTAAACTACCTTCAACCCCTGTAATGGTTGATGGTCCATGGCATTCGTATATCTTGATAGTGACCTTGTCATTCGCGAGGTATTTCTTCAGAGAAAGATAGGCAGATAGTCCTCCTATACCAGCGCCAATGATGATGACCTTCATGGAGGAATCTTGTCGTAATTGCGGGTTCTAAGGAAAAGAGCTTTTAGAGGCTTCTGTGAAATCAGGCCTCGTGTAGGCCGCATGTACTACACGTGAAGTCCGCTGAACTTTCACCCTTGGTCGGCACGTCACTCGGCCGTGATTCCTTCCAACCTGCCTTCGGCCAACCCTCGGCATCGGAGCTGGGCCACGTCAAGAAGTCTCTTGTCCGGGACTGGGAAAATGTGCATCGTATCGTCCTTTTAGTGTCTATGATGAAACCCTATCTCAGGCGAGCGTTCCACGTTGTTCTCCCTTTCATCGGACTCACAGATTCAGGTCAGTTCATAGTAATGGAAGCAAGCTCCACCTTTCGATCTGTCAGCAGCATGAGATTGGCCCGGGGTAGTAGTCCTTCTGGTTTTGTCATCTATGCTTCGTACGAAATGTGTTCTCCCTGATGTGGGCACCGCCTTCAAATGCGTATGTGGCATCGCCACTACTTCTGTTCCACTTCGATACTCTGGATCTTATCTCGTCTCACGCATACATAATCCAAGAACTTTGTCATTTCCCATTTCTCCAAATAGTAAGCTTGAAGTATAGTAGATGCATGATACTATGGTACCATTGCATGAGCTGTTTCGACTATACTATGCAGTCTAACCTTGTTCACTCTTTCAAATACTGGTCAACTGCAGCCTCCACATCGTACATATACAACTCATCATTGATCGATTCCGGAAGTTTACCTT